TTTAAAAGAGGAAATATTTTTGGGAAGACAATAATATTATAAAAGATTTGGAAGAGTAATGTACCATGGTCATTAGCAAAAAAGATGGTTCTCTAAAAGACACATAAATCATTTGAGACCAAGATTCTCAGGAGAATTTGACTGCAGAAATGGAACAAAGTACTGATGGATGTACTTTATGATATTTTCGATATTTAGCGACACCAACTTCTTGGCATTGCATATTTTTTAAATTTTATTTTAATAAAAAATCTTTTAAGGAAGAGTAAGTAAAAAGGTAACATTATAATAAATACAGTGAGCTATTTTTGTGGATTAGTTTTAATATTTTATATTATTAGGATTTACTTGGATTATATACCAACGGATTATATGGTGGACTCTCACCTCGTATTCGACGTATGAGAGTCAACCAGCACGTATGATTTGATTATAGTGAAGGCTTTGTGCAGAACCAACCACACTACGTGAATTCTCCTAGAACAGTTATCATCCATGGCTATAGAACCCACCCTCTCCTGCTATTTACCCACAGCTGGAGAGAGATGAGGGTTCAAATGTTTTCTAAGAGTGTTAGCACGTTGTGGAATTCGAACTCGGCTCTCCGCTTCCTCAAACCGTGCCTCTATAAAGGGTGTCTATTCAAATATGTACGTATATGAATATTTCTATCAAGAAATCTCACGAGAATTTCCGTGATTTTGGATTAACAATATGGAAGTCAAGCTCGACAACAAACGCGTTCATTGTGCTGATGCGATATTTAAGCAGTAACTTCTCATCGTCTTTTGACAAGAAAAGAAGTCACGTATCTTTGAACTTTGAAATCTGTTGCAGATTTACAATTAATTTAAATCCATTGTGGCACTCCGTTTAATTAACCGAGAAATGTGTTTTTCTTTTGCAGTACTCTTTATAGTACACTTCATAATCTTTAAGGAAGAGTAAGTGAAAAGGTCAAATTAAATAATCTCTGTTATAGTACATATACTTAGCTCTCTTTGTCAGGCTTGACAATGAGCGTATTCATTATGTTGATGTGATATTTACCTCATAAATTCTCATCGTCTTTTGATAATTATAACCTCTATATATGGTGGACTCTCCGTATATTCGACGTATGATATCAAAAGGCTCATTTATAGGACACGAAGACACCAGAACATTTGATTTGATTCTGCTTTTCAGAACCAACCACATTTTGAAATATCGAATACAGAGACCTGGAAGCACCACGCCAAAAGGTCCCTAAACGACGCTCTGTGGATGGATGGACACCAGTTGCCATCAAAAAGTTATAGAACCCAACCTGTCGAACGAACGGACCCAAAAAGGGAGAATAATAGGATTAAATTGATTTAATGGATTGGATTGGCATTCGAACTCATCTCCGATTTTCTTCTACTCACACTGTCTCTATTTAGGGTGTCTATTAATATTAATGTCTATTCAAACATTTACGTATGTATATCAGTACTCTTCATGTTCTTAAAACTAAATGACACTATTAAAAAATCTCATGAGAATTTCCGTGATTTTTGAATAAACAATATGGAAGTCAAGTCGACCATAAAGCGTTCATTGTGTTTTTTGATATTTAAATAGTAAATTCTCAAACAATTTTGATCAAAAATAAAAAAAAAAAAGAATGAAATCTTTGAACTTTTAAATCTTTTGAAAGATAAAATAATTAATTTAAATCCATAAAAGCAATAAGTTTAATTAACCGAGCAAGAATGTTTTTTAAGCGAAGGTTCATACATTTCCCATTAGAAAATCTTACAATCCGATAATGAAAGACTCGTTTATCATTTTGATAAACATCAAAATGATTTATACATTCGGACATGTGCCACATCCAATGGATAATTAAATAGATCGCTATAATGTGGAGAAAAACTTACGTAAAAATCTGATATTCGCAGGATATATGGAAGGAAAGAGGGAGAGAGTAAAGCAGTGGATTAAAATATACCCTTGTGAAATTTAAATAAAAGAACCGCTTTAGTTTCATTTCTTTCACCAAACAGTCAGTATTAAACCCACTAGAATGACAGGGCGTAAAATTTTCTATTTTTTCTACAGATTGCGTCATTTGCATCTCCTTTATTAATTTGAATCTAGAATTTAGTTTGATATAGATTAATGAACAGAGTTTAGATAGATAGATAGATAGATTGATAGATAGAGAATAGATAGATCTCTCTTTTTGAATATTCAGATAACAGATTTAAGTTTGCAAATTAAATGAAAGAATAGATTTAGTTCCATTTTTTCAACATACTTTCCTTTTTTTGACCCACCACTGTGACAGGGTGTAATCGATTTCTAAATTTTCCCAGATTAGGTAATTTGCATTGTACAATAATATTAATCTATTTTACATAGATAGATAGATAGATAGATTCAGATAATATTAGATAAAAGAATGAAAAAAAGATATATAGATATATATATCTTATATAAATATATATATATATATAGATAGATTATATATAGATAGAAGGATAAAAGAAATGAAAGTCTGATAGGGACTTATATAGAAAGATAAAAGATATAAATAGATATAAGGATAAAGGAATGGAAGATATATATAAATATATATATATAATATATATGAATAGATAGATAGTAGATAAAGGATAAAAGAATGAAAAAAAGATGAAAGATAGATAGATAGATAGATAGATAGATAGATAGATAGATAGATTGGATAAAAGAAAGCTCAGAAGGATAAAGGAATGGAAGATAGATACAATGATATATATATATATGTTAAGATAGATAGAAAAAAGAAAGATAAAAGGATTAAAAGATAAATATATAAATATAAACACCCCAATTCTCAAATAGATAGATAGATAGATAGATATGAATTAGATTAATAGATAGAAAAATTTGTTAACAATCATAAAAAATCCAACAAGAATAATTAATTTGGAAGGTTATATAATTGGAGACACATAATTTTTAGTTATCAATAAATAAAACAACAAATTAAGAAAAATTCCCTCATTAAAACTACTGATAAATAAATCAAAATAGAAAAGAAAATTATATATATGAACATACTTAGATAATGAAAAAAAAAAAAAACAGAACAAAAAATGAATCAAGAATCAATTAAACGAAAAGAAAATAAAAATGACGCGTTTTATCATTTTTAATTTTATTGATAAATAGAAACTCAAAATTCAACAAAATTTTTCGAAAATTTTTTACCTAGAATAGTCAAAAATAAAATTCCTATTTTTCGGGCCTGAATATGCATTTTTTTTGAAAACTAACTTCAAAATTTTTTTAAAAATATTGAATAAGGAATAAAAATCTGAATGGTCTATATATAATCATATAGATATTGGTAAAAAAAAAAAATAATTTGTTAAATTTGAGAAAATCTTAAAATTTTTTGAATTTTACAAAAAAAAATGGAAACTAAAGAAATAATCAGTATCCTAAAGAAATAGATCTTTTTAAATTAGATAAAAAAATGAAATTGCAAAAGAGTATTTTTAAATCTTTTGAAAATTTTGAATCACAAAATTATAACGAAAAAAAAAAAGTTGTTTTTCATTGTTAGAAGATGAAGGATCGAAACAGATTTGCAAATTGATTTGTTGGGATATAACAATATGATTTTTGCTGGAAATTTAAACACAAAACACAAACTGTTAAATATTTATTCAATTAAATATACCAATCATTTTGTTTCAACATTTCTCCATTATTCCTTCAACTTTCAAGAATCCATAAAAAAGAATTTCTAAACAAGAAAATGGGCGCTCATCCAGTATTGTCTGAAGGAATGACATCAAAGAATTTGAAATTTCTACTGATTATTTGATGATGAATATAAAAAATCTATTTTCTAAAAAACGGTCTAGACATTTTCTTACTCAAAAAATATGAATCCATGAAATCAGTTATGGTACTCTTCCAAACTTTTTTAAAATGAATCTTGGCACGAGACAAAGTAACTTTAAGATGGTCATTCAAGACAAGTAAAAAAATTGGATAAAATGGGGGTTTTTTTTTATTTTCCAACATGAAAGTCCATGCCGTTTTTAAAAGGGAAGGATTAAAACACAAAACTTAGATGAACAACCTTGTTTTCATCTATCTTTATAAATCATTTATCTAGTTCGCATCTAATATATTCCTTCAATCTTTTTTTTAATACCTTTCCTTTTTTTTTTGGTTAAAATGAATGTTGAATAGCGTCTTTTTTTTATTTATACTATATATATATATATTTTATTAAGATTTTTTAAGAGAAAGCAAATTTTTTTTCGAATATGCAATTAAATTTTTGTTTTAATTTAACATTAAACGTCAGACGAATTCTACTTTACCTTCTCATGACATATTTTAAAATGATTAAGGCATTTAAATTAAAAAATTAAAACAATTTCAATTATATCCATATTTTGTTTTATATATATTATTTATATATATGTATAATGTATATTATATATATTATATATATATATATATATATATATATATATATATATATATAAAGAAAGAACAATAAGATATATAATCCTGTGTTCTTATAGATATTTTTATTTTACAAAATAGTGCTCAATGTAAATTTATTGAATTCAACCTTTTCAATAGCTTTTTCAATTTCAGTCCAGGTTTCATCACAATCATGCATCTCGTCGCCATCTTGTTGCAGATGTGTCTCGTTTTCATCCAAACCTCTTATTCCCATCATCTTTTGAACCAATACAAGCCTTTAGGGTGAAATAAGCATACGCAATTATCCAAAGTAAAGTTCCTGAAAAACAAAAATTTCAAATCAGTTACACATCATCCAAATAGTTTAAAAAATATGCACGCCAAGATCATGTCTGGATATGCGGGATTCCGGAAATGAGGGATTCCGGATATTAGGGATTCCGGATATAAGGGATTCTGGATATGAGGGATTCCGGATATGAGGGATTCCATTGTATTTTCAGAGAATCGGCTAAAAAGGAATAATTGTTATCATCATGAGAAGATCTCATATCAGAAATTCACTCAAATCTATTCCTCACCTGATCACACTCAAAAGAAGAGATATTTTTCTTTCTCAAGAGATACCACATAATTTATCAGTCACATCTTACTTTCTGAACAACACCAACTTACACGTCTCAAATGTAAGATACAGTAATTTTTTCTTTTCTTTTTTTTTATCCTTCTGATAAGGTTTTTGAAATCTTTCCGTTTATATAATTAGATTTCACATTTACCGATGCGTTACTGATAGGCCTGTTGCAAAACGAAGCATATCTGGATTTAAATTAACGATTGCCACAACGACTAAAGGTGCTAATTTATACTTATCAGAATGAATTGTTATCAATAAATAGTTCCAGGTTTCTTCTGAAACCATTAAAATTTTAAAAACAAAATCCCTCCCAACAAATAAAGTAAGAATTTAACATTTTATTTGGAAATTATCGAGAGGAAGATAAGAACAGAAAAAAACATTAGTGGGATTTGAGGGATTCGGCAATAGTTTTAACAGGTAAAATAATTTGATTGAGTCGATTTGAGAGGATTTCGCTTATTTCAGACACTAGTAAGATTTATGAAAAAAAAAGGAACGAGTTCATGGGGAATGAAACGTTTATCTGACGTTTCATACACAGAAACGTTTAGACAACAATTTTGACAAAAGAAAACATTTGTGATGAAAATAAAATATTTTTTATTTATTCAAGGAATATAGTCGTGAACACCGTCATTGAATATGAACAATGATTAAAAATTGGTCGTTTTTTTTACCTATCTTAATTAAAATGTAAAGTATATATATATATATATATATATATATATATATATATATAGAAAATATAATTGGTATATGGAATGAATTCCAATAACCAACAATTACTATTCTTAAAAGAGTGCTCAATACAAAAAGTAGAGCAGATATAATTATTATTTATAAAAAAATTATAACATAAGTATGTTATAAAATCACTACAAAATAGCCATTTTGTTTCAAACACTCTGTGTCTTATCAATATAATGATGTTGAAGATATATATATATTCATGAATTATTAATAAAAAAAAAAATATAAAAGATTAATGATTGATTTTTGTATGAATAATTCATGAATTTGTAAATTAATTTTTTTTTATTGAAATTAAAATAACTGATCCAATATATAATTTTGGATAATAATTAAACATTATGTAATTATTGAACAATATAGTTCATACTTTGACAGAAAATTTACCAGTAAAAAAGAATTACTTATCATTATATTTGTATAAGAACGCACAATCGTAAAAATTTAAATTAAAACTCAGCGTTGCGACTGGCTCCAAAAACAATAACTCATTTATAATAGCATATTTTTCGGATTAAAATAATTCATATATTTTCCTGAAAAAATTTAGACTGAGAGTAAAAACAAGAAGAAAATCTATTCCATACTTGAAAAATATGTAACCAAACAAGAACTTAAAGAGCAAAAAATCCCATTAATGATTAAACAGATAATAAGCAAACAAATTTTTTATATAAGATAAGCGTTCCGTTGAAATATTTATCACGTCGTCGAAAATTGTTTGCGAGATATGTAAAAACGTATTCGAAGATGACACTTAAATATTAAATATTAAAAGTTTTTTTTTTGGTTAAAATTGATCTTATGTGATCATTTTAATATATATGTTAAATTTTTATATGTTTTAATGTTAATTATGTTTAAATGAAAATGTCCTGAAGATGGTTAAATTAGACCAAAACGTCCGACGTTGACTTTATATTAACATTAATACAGCATAATAATAATATTAAGATTTTTTGTTTTTTAAGAATGTATATTTTTTAACTTATATATATATATATATATATATATATATATATATATATATATATATATATATATATATATATATGTGTGTGTGCGTTATTGATATATTAATAAATGCATATGAATATATTTTTTTTAATTAATTTCATTAAAATTATAAAAAAAATTAAAATAATTGCATTTCAATTTTTGATGATCCGAAAAATAATAAATATTAGATTGATATTTTGATAATATAATTTATGTTTGAATCTTTTTATATATTCATTTTAATGATATTTAAATTTTTATAAAAAAAACTGTATTTCGAATAAGTTTTTCATGTTCAACAATGAACAAACGTTTTATGAAAAAAAAACAGTAGAAAATCATTAAAGGGAATTTCTAAATTTTTTTTTTTTTATTAATCGGACCACTTAACCATCAAAAATTAGTGTTTAATAACCTCGTTACACATTTTTTTAAATAAGTTAAATATTTATATATTTTTAATTTTTTTTGAGTTAAATATCAGACAGACTGGTCATTTCAAAAATGAAAAAAAATAAAGCCAGTTTCTGGTTTTGCAATTTCCTGCATTTAAAAAGATTAAATGGCTTTTTGACATACAAATATATATTATATTAATAGGAATAAGACCTTAAAAAAACAAATGGCAAAAAGTTAAAAATTTTTTTCCCATACAATTAATTTAACAATAAAGATTGTTATGAATTAATATCATTATTTTATGAAAAAGAAAATTTATAAAATGTAAATAGGACAAATTGCATAAAGTATAAACGTAATTTTAATTTACATTATAAGATGAAGACGTTTACGTTTTAAAAAGAATTATAAAAATATTTTTTTAAAAAAAAATCATTTAAATAAATAATTTATAAATGAAATGGTTTTATCAAAATTTCCAAACTATGATTTGATTAAATACAATAAATTATTGAAACTATAAAGTTTTATATAAATATATGAATTGGGGTAAAATATAAATTTACCGTAAATTTAAATAAACAATAAATTGAATTTATTTATTTTATTAAATTAGAAAATATGAAATTTAAAAAAAACATTATCATAAAATTAAAGAGATTTTAAATATTATATTAAAAATAAAGATATAAATATTTTTTTAAAATTCAACCAATAATGTCCAAATGAACAATAAAACGTTTTATTTGTTAAATTATGAAAATATAAATTCTTTTAATATAAACAGATTGTTTGTACATTTTTTTATAAATAGTGAAACGATATAAAATTAAGGTTATTAAATAATTAAATTATGAAACTAAAAATTTTTTTGTTTTTAGAACAATTACCAGTTTATATATTTAATTTTATACAATGAATTATGAAACTATAAACGTAAGCGTAAATATCATAAATTATGAAATAAAATGATAGTAAATATTGGATAATGAAACTATGAATTTTTGCAAATATGATAACAGAATTAATTTAATCCATAGAAAATATAAGAATTTTGATTAAAACATAAAATGAATGAAAATTTTCTTGTTTTAATCATTTTTGAAGTTGTAATTGGGATATATTATATAAAAATCTTTGTCTTTTTGCATTGTTTTTTTCGTATTCAAGATAAGAAAAATTTGGCTGTTCTAAAAAATTATAATGAAATGTCTTGAATGGAAGAACGGCAAACAATTGACAGCAGAAATTAAAGAAAAACATTTAAAATTTGAATAAAGCCTATTTAAAATTTAAGAAAGAATTTTTTCATTATTAAACAAGGTAATTAATGAAAATGAATAAAATCAATAATTTTAAAAAGGGATAATGCAGAAGAAGATTATGAATTCAAAGTAAAACACATTTTATTTGGTTCATAAGTAAATTTTTCTGTTTTCTTTCAATCAATAAAATAATAATAAAAAAAAAGTGATATGATGATGATGATGATGATGAATGATGATGTGCAATGATAATGATGAAAATGTTAAGAAAAATTTAGGGAATGAAGAGATATTTTAAAGCCTTGTGAAAAGAATTTATGGGATCAATCTCATTCAAGGAACTAACAAAGATTGGAATTTGGAAAATTAAGTTTAATTTTTAAAAAAATATTTTTGGTTATATTTGTCTGTCTGTTCTTAAAGTCTTTTAGATCGAAAGAAAACGTGAAATTATCTATCTATAATTTTATTATTTAATAAAGAAATAAAAATCTAGAGAATGATTATTCTTTTTAGAATCTGCCGAAGTTTATTATCTGAATAAATTTATTATCTATCTATCTGTGAAATATATCTATCTATAAATCTATCTATCTATCATATATATATAAAATTAGTATATTTTGATATATATATTCATAATATCTATCTATATATCATATAATATCTATAATATTTATTTAATTGTGTTTAATGATTTATTTTAATTGAAAAATTTTAATAATTGACTATTTCGATTTTAATGTCGGTTTCATTTTTTTAATTTTAATTCTTTATTTTATCTATCTATCTATTATATATCTATCTATCTATTATTATATTATTTTAGAATATATACTTTTTATTATTATTTTTATTCATATATCTAATTTATTTATCTATCTATCTATTAAAACAAGTTTTTTATTTATCTATCTATCTATTTAAATTATTTTATCAAATCTATCTAAAATAATCTTAAATTAGATTCGATTGATCTAGAAATCTATCTTTCTATCTATCAAATTCTATCTATCTATTATCTATCTAACAATTTTGTAAATTGATCTCCCATATATATATATCTATCTATGTATCTATATATAAATTTCAAAATATATTTCTATCTATTTTATATATATTTTAAATTGACTATTTCAAAAAATGAAATTATGCATGTTATTATTTCACAAAAAAAATTCTTTATCTATCTATTATAATCTATCTATCTATCTATATCTATCTATCTATCTATCTATATTCATTCTATCTATTTCTATTTAATTCTATTATCATTATCTATCTATCTATCTATCTATCTATCTATTCATCTATCTATCTATCTATCTATATCATCTAGTTATTCATTATCTATCTATTCATCTATCTATCTATCTATCATCTATCATTATCTATCTATCTATCTATCTATCTATCTATCTATCAATATTCATCTATCTATCTATCTATCTATCTATCTAATTAGTTCTATATATATATATCTATCTTCATATCTATTTGTTATCTATATCTATCTATCTATTATCTATCTATCTATCTATCTATCTATATTATCTATCTATCTATCTATCTATCTATATATCATTCATCTATCTATTCATTCATTCATCTATCTATCTATCTATCTATTCATCTATCTATCTTCATTATCTATCTATCTATATATCTATCTATCTATATATCTATCTATCTATTCATATATCTATCTATCTATCTATCAATCTATTTATCTATGTATTTTATTTTTAAAATTGTATCTTTCATTCATCTATTATCTAAATCTATACATATGTTATTATCTAAGTTCATCTATTTATCTATCTATTTATCTATCTATCTATCTATTCATCTTCTGTTATCTATTATCTATTCAAGTTATCTATCTATCATTATCTTTATATCTATTTTATATCTATCTATCTATCTATCTATATCTATATATGAATTATTCTATAAATTTTTAATATTTTTATATTTTTGAATTCAATCATCTATAACAATGAAATTAATTAATGGAAATGTTGAAATTCAACATTTATTATAACCCATGACAAAAAGACATCATATTGAACAAAAGTAATTTATTCATTTTTTGCATCGAAAAAAAGCAGGCAGACATTTCTTCTATTTCTATTCGAAAATCTAAAAATCAGTATCTATAATTTCAACAAATGATTCATTACACCCTATCATTATTTTCGATGATTATTTTAAGTAGGAAAAAACAGAAAACTATTTATTTATCATTTATTATTGTATTATTTTTATATACGACTTTAAAATGAACAAATTTTTTTTTTAATGTTCCAAAAAAAATAAATGGATTTTTTAATATAAAATGAAATTATCAGAATAAATTTTTCCATTTATGTCATTATTGTTCATAAAATTCAATTTAAAATTTTTAACTAAATTCAAATAAACAACAACATCTAAACAAATTTCAGTAATTTTATTCAAATCTAAAAAATTAACTTGATTAAATTAATATCAATGAAAAATAACTATTAAAATATTTATTTGAAAGGAAAATTCATTCATGAGGTAATAATATGAAAAATGAAGCAAAAAAAGAAACCTGAAAATGGTTCTCAGAAAGATAGTAAATTTCTGTAAATTTGAAAAAAAAAAAAAATGATTAGAAATTAAAGGCTTCCGCAGGCAACTGAAAGATAGTCAAATATCAAACCTCCATAGGTATTATAGAAGATAGTTGAAATGAATTTAGAAATATTTTTTATATTTATATTTTGTAAAAAAGAATAAATAATTCAGATTTTACTTTTGAAATGCGTTTTTTTTTTTGATTTTAAATGTTATAGATTGAATTTTGAAAAAATATTGGACAAAGTTTCGAAAGAAAAATCTTTTGAAACGCAAATTGAAAATAGACAAAATGTCGAAAAAACAAAAATGTCGTAACGAAATCTTATAAAAATTTATAATGAAAAATGGACAAAATTGAACTTGAAAAAACAGAACATTTGTTCATCAGAATGAACAAATGACGAATGGACAAAATGATTTTTAGAAAAAAAAAATACGAAGTTAAAAAAGATAAAAGAAAAGAACAACAAAAAATAAAACGAAAATATTCAAAAGAAAATTTAGAAATTTTTTTTTGTGAGATAGGAAAAATGGTGTTCAAAAGAAAAAAAGAAAAAAATTTGAATGGAAATTTCAGCGATGTTATATAAACATATTTTTATATTAACGAAATAATTTTTTTTAATTTTTTTTTTATCTTGTTACATTTACGAGAGAAAGTAATTGAGAAATGACTAATACTATTGTCATTGTACTTATTTTACAAGAAATGGAATCTTCATATCAAACGATCAAAAATTGAAAATGGACAAAGTGCAAAAAAAAAAAAAAAGTGATCAAAAAAATAAAATGATAAAAGGGAAAAAATTAATGAAAAGATTACAATTTAAAAAGAACACAATGTTTATGAATTGAAAAAATGTTGAACGAAATAAATTAAATGTATATTGCCAATTTAACACATTTTCAAATTTATTTCAAGTATGTTTTGAAAGAAAATCGAAATTTTTTAATCAAATTGGTTATTTTTTTCAAGTGAAGAGGTGGTATAAAGGTCAGAATGTCGAAAGACAAATATCGAACAGAAAAAAAAATTTTGAAACTAATTGACGAATGTTTAATTTATAAAAAAATTAACAAAGTTAAAATGGACAATTTGGAGAAATAAAAAAAAGCGGTTGATAGAAGCATAGTAAGAATATGTAGATTAGAAAAAATTTGAATTACATAAATGAAAAGAATTCCAAAGGGAGACATTTTAGAACATATGAATTGATAATAAGATTATTTTTTTTTAGAATCAATTTGTTGTAAGAAAATTTTATAATTTTAATTTAAATTCTTTGTAAAGGAACGAGTCAAAACTATCCTTGAATGGTTAAAGTGTCGAATTTAAAAAATTTAAAGTTTAAATGACAGATGGAAATAATGATTGAAAAGACAGTTTAAAAAGGAGAAAATGTAACAAAACAAATGTAGAAACTGATTAAAAAGAATGGGCAAAATGTTGATTCAAAATAAATTTTAATTTTCGTTATTATTTATTTAAGATGGACATTATGTCGAAAAGAAAAAATTTGAAATAAAGAAAATGTTTTACAAATTTTAAAACGAACATGTATATCAAAATTATAAATGACTCGGTTCAAATAACCAATTAATCTAATATACACATTGTATATAAATTAAGGTATCATTTAACCAAAAATTTTTAAAAGTGATTAAACCATCAAAAATCTTGGATCATACTTGAAGAATCAAATTTGTCGGGGTCGTTTATTATATGAAATATTTTTTTATCAAATTGTTTGATCATTCAAAATTTGATTGAAAAGTCCATAAATTTTGTTATTACAAATATTGAGATAGTTCAGTTGGAAAGTGTATTCTTTGAGGACACAAAAAAAACAAAATAACAAATTGATGGTCGTCTATATTATAACGAAAATTTATATATATAATAAAAAAATTTAAATATAAACATATTTTGATTATAGACAAATATTCTTTCATTTTCTTCTAATTCCCAAATAATAAATATATATCAGTTCATGACCTTTTTTATCCTTTTCAAGTTGGTGTAAACGTTGTTATATTGAGAATGTTTTTTTTGTTTGCAGTATTTTAGGAAACAAAAATGACTCATTAGCCATTTTATAGTCCACCAAAAGAAGGTTAACCAATCAGAAGACGTAGAATATTCAATCCGTCGTGTATAAAGGCGGCCATTTTGTTTATCTACCCGAATGTCCAGAGCCAGCTTGTCAGGCGAAGAGGAACAGAAGGAAGAACTATACCAGAACATTTTTTCTGCTACTTTTTACCAAAATATCCACTGCTAACCTGAACAATTTTTCCCTACTGTCTTCGAAATATTCACTTTTAACCTCTGGATTCTATACTTGAAGACGACCGTCATCATGAAGAACAAGATGATATATTTGGATTAAAACTTGATGGATTTTTTTTTTAATTGGATAAATAAATTGTATTGGATGATTTGGGATGTCAGATTGTGATTAAAAAGTTTGTTATAGATTTTATTACATCTTCTTCCCCCACTTGAAAGGCCAGAAAATTATTTTTATTGGACTGAAATACAATAATTTATTCATTTGATGCACCATAAATGGTCCAATTAGCTACGATAGTCATTATGGATAAATATTCTTCATTTTACAAGGGATTTTTTATTCAATTGAACCAGAGTTTTTAAAATTACTCATTTTGTTATGAGTTCATTGTGACAATTTAGTCATTCAAATACATGAAACTAATCTTTGGACAATTTTTCTTATGTTTTTTGTTGTTCATGCTTTTTATTTTTTTTTTTTTTGACATCACAAATGGTTTAAAGTTTTTTAACGATCTGGATTTTTTAACGAAATTTCTTGAATTTTTTACATCTTTTAGCACCTGATTTTAAGACGTGACATCGCGGCTCAATTTTTGTTGAAGATTTCAAAAAAAAAATTAATTTATACAAAAAACCCAGAAAATTCAAGAAGCCATGAAAAAATTGCCATCCTGTTCTTTCTTAGAAAATCTTTAATCAGGGGAGAGAAATCGTTTTTAAAGAGAAAAAGAAATTTTGTTTTTTTCTTTTTGCGGAACAATCTTTTTTTACAATTCTTTTTTATTTAATTTCTTTTTATTTTTTGTGCATTTTCTTAAAATGATTTTTTTTTTTTACTTTCTTTTTTGAAAATTTTTTTTTTAATTAAACATTTCTTTCTTCTTCTTTTTTCTTTCTTTCTTTCTTTTAGTCTTTCTTTTTTTTTATTCTTTCTTTCTTTTTTTTTCACTGAAACCAAGTAGCGTTAGTCATAAATCTTTTGACGTTCCAGGCGATCGTAACGGAATAATCCATTATTTATGAGGTTTCATTCTTTCTTCTTCTTTCTTTCCTTACATGAAATTTTTCATTAATTTTTTCATTAAATATTTTTTTGTCGTTCTATGCGATTGAAACGGAATAGTCCGTTTTCTACGAGGTGCCATTAAACGTTTATTTCTTTTTTCTTTTTTTAGTTTTTTTTTCTCTTTTTATTTTGTTCTATTTTTTCACTGAAACCAATAGCGTTTCTTTAAATCTTTTGTCGTTCTAAGTGATCAAAACAGGATAATCCATTATTTATGACGTGGCATTAAGCCTTTCTTTCTTTCTTTCTTTCTTTCTTTTCACTGAAACCAAGTAGCGTTACTCATAAGTCTTTTGTCGTTCTAAGTGATCTCAACAGAATAGCCCATTATTTATGAAGTGACGCTTAGCCTTACTTTCTTTTTTGTTTGTATGTTTGTTTCTTTCTTTCTTTCACTGACACAAAGTAGCGATACTAATAAGACTTTTGTCGGTCTAAGTGATCAAAACAGAATAGTCCATTATTTATGAGGTGACATTAAATCTTTCTTTCTTTCTTTCTTTCTTTCACTGAAACCAAGTAGAGTTATTCATAAGTCTTTTGTCGTTTTAAGTAATCAAAACAAAATTGTCCATTATTTATGAGGTGATATTAAGCCTTTCTTTTTCTTTCTTTCTTTCTTTCTTTCTTTCTTTTTTTTTTTTATTTCTTTTCTTTCTTTTTCTTTTTTATTTTTAACTGAAACCAAGTAGCGTTACTAATAAGTCTTTTGTCGTTCTAAGTGATCAAAACAGAATAGTCCATTATTTATGAGGTGACAATAAGTCTTTCTTTTTCTTTTTTTCTTTTTTTCTTTCTTTCTTTCTTTCTTTCTTTATTTATTTATTTATTTATTTATTTATTTCACTGAAACCAAGTAGCGTTATTCATAAATCTTTTGTCGTTTTCAGTGATCAAAACAAAATTGTCCATTATTTAGGAGGTGATATTAAGCCTTTCTTTTTCTTTCTTTCTTTCTTTTTTTTGAAAAGACAA